AAGTGGGTCTTTGCCCACGAAAGCTTATGTTCCTACACTTCAGTTAGTCTATAAGGTGCCACAGGACTCCTCGTCGCTTATACTTTTCATTGTCCTCTGAGATATTACCTGGCTCAATTTACAGTGGAGACATGGGGAAACAGGAAAAACAACACTCCTTTATGCAGGACAGGCTGGGCATACGCACCTTTAAAGAACAAAGTATATTTACCTATAAGGTAACAAAACTACCAAGCTAAATAAGTGGGTAATGGAGCCTGCACCTCCTTCCCCCAGCAAACCTTCCTGTCCCATGAAACAGAGACACTTTGGGAAATGTAAACAGAGGCTGAAAGCCATTTTGGCATTCATCACGTAGGGCACAAAGTGGGGGCTCATCAAAAGTGGATCCTCTTGCTTCAAAGCCAGAGCAGCTAGAACTGACCGTAGGTGAGAAACCTGCTTAGACAAAGATTGTAAAGCGCCCTGGCTGGCTAGGTTCAGGGGCTGGGCTGACGGTGGGGAGTAGGGATGTTAAATATCGGTTACTTGCTGAAGTTAAGCTTTAGTCACTGGAAAAACATGTGTTGTTGTGTTGTGTTTGTAATCATATCTGTGTCTTCTACTCTTTAACATCTGTTTTTGTTGATAAACTTACTCTGCTTTTATTACAGAACTAACTCAGTGCTCTGTGTTAAACTGAAGGGTGAAGCCCTCAACTAAACTAACCAGCTCGGATGTGCTCGGTCTCTTTGGAGACAGTGGGAACTTAAAACTTCTGTGACTATCCAGTCAGAGGGATGGACACCGTAGGGGAGATGGCATGGGGAAACCTGGGACTGGAAAACTGTTGGTGTCACTCAGCAAAGAGTGGCTGGTGGAAGTCAAGATGAGACCATGTGCTGTGAGCAGGCTGCTGATGCCAGCACTATGAGCTAAAGCTGCACAGCACAGAAGCACCCAGGATTGCAGGCAGGTGATAACAGACCCCTTTACATGGCATCACATAGACTAAAGTGGATAGTCACCAAGTTGGATTTAGTAGGACAATTCCTATCATCATAAAATTGGTTTACATTTAAACATCCAAAGGTGTGAGCATCATTGGAATAAGCTAATATTGCCCTGAAGTCTAGAGCTTCATCCCCACTAATTAACATGGAGACTTTTCATTCTTTTCTTTCTCCCTGGCATTTGATAAATAATATTTGTCCTAAGGAAAAGAGATTTGTAACTGTTTTCATTGGGACAGTTACAGCTGACGCCTTTCACCAGGAGATAAAACTCGATTGATCATGTAGTGGATCAGTTATTGAAGCCTTATCACTAAGGGCATGCTACACTGCAGGGCAAAAGTCAAATTAAGCTACGAAACTTCAGTTATATCAATTGCGTAGCTGAAGTCGAAATAGCTTAATTTGGTTGCTTGCTCTGTCTACACAGCAGGAAGTCGAAGGAAGAACACTCTTCCTTTGACTTCTCTTACTCCTCATGAAATGAGGGTTATAGGAGTTGGAGTAAGAAGCCTTCCAGCTCACCGTTATTTTGAAATAGTGGCTTGCTGCGTAGAAGCGCATTTTGCTATTTCTAAATAACATCAGTTACTCTGAAATAACATTGCTGTGTAGATGTACCCACAGATATTGGAGCAATAAGTGGAAAATCTCCCCTAAGGAGTGCAGGCCTAGATGTTTTCGAAACAACTATCTATGCTAACTTTCTCAGGTCTTTGCTTGTCCGTGTTACAAAGAAATACTTGTGTTCTGCAGTAATGGCCCCAACACTACAGTAGTGTAAGCTGTTGTGTTTTGGACTATTGTTGCACAATGCTGTATCATTTTTATGAGGGGGCATTTGCAACTTCTTTAACTGGAAGCCTGCTACAGTAAGTTACCCTTATACAAAAGACAGTTGAAATTACCGTATTTTCCGGCGTATAGGGCGACTGGGCGTATAAGACGACCCCCTATCTTTTTAATTAAAAGATAGGGTTTCATCTTATACCCCAGCGCCCCTCCGCCTCCTTTGCTCCCGGTGTCCCTGGTCTGCTGGAGATGGTCCCCAGCAGACCAGAGGC